GGGAGCGGCCACTGCACTCCAGTCTGGGGGACCGAGTGAGACTCCAACTCAAAAATAATAATAATAATAATAATAATAATTAAAAAAAAATGAATAACCTCCACACTAGTTAGGACTCAGCTGTCACAAGAGAAAGAAACAGAAGCCACACCAGCTAAGCCAACAGTGTTGAGGGGCAGGGGAGAGAAGGCAATTTACAGGTCCATGAAACCACCGCAGAGAAAAATGAGGCACAGTGGGACGCAGGGACTCACACCGTCATCTTCAGCCTGTCTCCTTTTGTCTTGTTCATCTTCCAGTTCTGCTTCTCTACATGTTGGCCACATTCACGTCCGTTGTAGATGAACTCCTCCCATGCAGATACAACTTTGAGCTTCCACCACCCCCAGTGATGAATTCCCTCCCTGCCCCTGTAGCAAACTCCTAGGGAAGGATTCTGATTGGCCCTGCTGGGACGATGTGTCCACCCCTTGGACCAATCACTGTAGCCAAGGAATCGTCTCCTGTGATGGGCTGGACCTGGCCACGTGCCCACATTATGGGCGGGAGTATGCGGAGTTCTCAGATGGACAGCTTCAACACAGATGAGAGGCTTCAGCAGTAACTTCTGGAAGGGCACCGAGGAGGAAGAGCTCCCTCAAGGAAGTGCAACAGTTGGTCCATACCCCCAGGCCATGCCTGTGTCTGCATCTCTGGGCCCAAGGACTTCTCCCCAGATTCACAGGAGATGGCTCTGCCCAGCTGCCCAGCGCGTGGGCTAGTGACCCCCGTGAGCAGCCGTCAGCCAGACCTGAAGGGACAGATGTAGAAGCTCCCCAGCCCCAAGTCTGGGGGGTCCACTCTTGCCTGTGGGACTCCACCCCCAGCGGGGACTGGCTTCATACCCACCTGGGACCACTCCCCTTCCCTGCCAGACCCTCCTCCCAATTAGTGTTGCCTGCACTTCCCAAAGTAACTACTTGAGCTTGAATCCCAACCTCAGGGTCTGCTTTAGGGGGCAGACTAAACAAGGCTTGGTGGAAGCAGGGGTCATCGCCCTATGGGAAGGAGGACAAAGCCAGTCATGGTCAGCCAAGGCCCACTGTTCACTCACTTGTTCATCAGTGGTGTCAGCTTTCTTTTTTTTTTTTTGAGTTTGAGTCTCACTCTGTCACCCAGGCTGGAGTGCAGTGGTACGTTCATGGCCAATACAGCCTCGACCTGCTGGGCTCTGGCGAGCCTTCCACCTCAGCCTTCCAAGTAACTGGAACCACAGGCGTGCAGCATCATGCCCAGCTAATTTTATGATTTATTGTAGAGACAAGGTCTCGCCATATCACTCAGGCTGGTTTCGAACTCTTGAGCTCAAGCAATCCTCTCGCCTCTGCCTCCCAAAGTGCTGGGATGACAGGCTTGAACCACCAGGCTCAGCTGGTATCAGGTTTTTAAGAAGCAGGCCCATGATGGGGGTCTTGTGCAGTGGTTTGTTGAGGGGAGGCTTTCGGGGACACCTATAAGGAGAGGAGGAGGCGGGAACAGAGCGGGGGGGGGTGAGCCTCAGTTTGATTCCAGGGGTGCTTGGGGTAAACAGGCCGCAATGGTGTCCCCTCTGCCCTAGGCAAGGCGACCAGATCTTTACACAAACCTGGTCAGTCACTGGCCGCAGGCCGCCTCAAGGCAGAGGCTGATACCTTCCAGAATCATCAGGACAGAAGGCCATTCTCCCACAGAGACAGGTGGGATGAGCACCCTGGCCCAGAACCAGCCCAGAATGTGAATGTAGGCATGGTCTGGGCAGCAGCCTCTGCTGGAGGGTTGCAGGTTAAAGGAAAAAGGAGCCCTGTCACTGCTGACACTTCGGAAGCAGGCAACAAACATATATTGAGCATGACAAAGGGTTATGTGAGTTCTGCCTTGGCAATGCTCATGGTCCATTCATGGGAATTCAAACACAGCTGCTTTAGGCCAGACCACGGTGGCTCATGGCTATCATCCCGGCACTTTGGGAGGCCGAGGCAGGAGAATGGCTTGAGCCCAGGAGTTCGAGACCAGCCTGGGTGACATAGCCTGACTTCCTCTCTATAAAAAAATAGAAAAATTAGCTAGGCATGGTGTCGTGCACGTATTATCTCAGATACTCAGGAGGCTGAGGCAGGAGGATTGTCTGAACCCCAGGAGGTCGGAGCTGCAGTGAGCCATGATCATACCACTGCACTCCGGCCTGGACAACAAAGACCCTGACTCAAAAATGAATAAATAAACAGCTCCTTTAATCAACCCACTCCAGACACTCAGTGCTGAGGGCCTTCTGCCCACGTGGATGCCATGGTCTCCTGTTTCACCCCATTTCCTGCTGTTCCCGCAAGCACCCACATTCCAGCCAGTCTAGGTCCCTCCTGGGCTCCAAATGCCGCGTCTCTCCTCCAGGACTTTGCCCATGCTGTTCCCTTCTCCCGGGACCCCTTTCCTCCCTCATCTGCCTGGTGACACCCCTTATCCTTTAATCGAACACAGCTCAAACGTCTCTCCCGGATATTCATGTGTCATGAGTAAATACGCCTCATCTCAGCAATGCTGGAAAAGTTTAGCATTAAAAAAATAGTTCATAGCCAGGCTCAGTGGCTCAGGCTGTAATCCTGCGCCTTGGGAGGCTGAGGTGAGTGGATTGCCTGAGCCCACGGGTTCGAGACCCGCTCGGGCAACTTGGCGAGACCTCATCTCTACAATAAATCAAAAAATTAGCTGGGCATGGTAGCATGCGCCTGTAGTTCCAGCTACTTGTAAGGCTGAGGTGGAAGGATCGCCGGAGCCCAGCAGGTCAAGGCTGCGGTGGCTGGGAGCGGCCACTGCACTCCAGTCTGGGCGACAGAGTGAGACTCCAACTCAAAAAAAAAAAATAGTTCATGACATTTCCCATGCTAGGAGCAAAATAGAAAGGTCTCTGGGGACACAGAGACTGGGTTGTGACTCCTGGGGTAGCAAGCCGTGTGGGCACTCATTTGCAGCCTGCAGCCACCTGCTGAGAGCTCTCCACGTAGTAAACACATAAATCCTCCCTGCATTCCTGGTGCAATTTCCACAGGAGCCCTCAGTCACTTATGAGGAAGGCAAGGTCCAGAGAGGCTATTTCATTTGCCCAAGGTCACACAGCTGGCAAGTGACGGAAGCAAGAGTTGATCTGGGACCATCTTCACACCATGCTGGACTGAATGAATGATTGAGTGAATGCAACCAGCAAAGCCAAAATGATGCAAGATCCAGAGAGAGGACAGGCCCACAGAGCCACTCCTGCTGAGACAAGAAGTTCAAGGGCCTGGCTGCCAACGGCGGGGGTGGCAGGCCAGGACAGGTACCACCTCCGAGAAGTGGCTCCGGGACCCTGTGTTCCTTCCGCCCTTGGGTTCCCAGGGCTGCAGGCCAGCCTCTGCCCGCCCTGTCTCCCCCTCTCACCGCCATGTGCTTACGTGTCTGTCTCTCCCACTCAGACACTGGCCCCGGGTTCCACACAGCCATTTCTGGCAAGGACTCTTGCCCAGGAAACAACCTGTTCTTCCTGAATAAAGGAGAGGACAGATTCAAGACCCCTGGCACCTGGCGAGCTCACAGCCAGATCCACCCCGGAGACCAGTTGTGTGGGAGGCGGGCCAGGAGCAGCCACTCCTCCGACAAGGTACCGGCCATGAACTCGCTATTCCCCTAAGGAGAGGAGGACCTGGGCTGGGGTCTGAGCTTGAACTCTGCAGATGGGATGTGAGGGGTCCCGCCTCCAGAACTGCTGGGGACAGGCACCTTGTCCGGGAGCGAGGAGGAGGCATTGAAGACGCAACAGTGAATTCTTTTTTTTTTTTTGAGTCAGAGTCTCACTGGAGACTTGCCCAGACTGGAGTGCAGTGGCCGCTCCCGGCCACCTCAGCCTCGACCTGCTGGGCTCCGGCAATCCTTCCACCTCAGCCTTCCAAGTAGCCGGAATTTCAGGTGTGCGCTACCATACCTAGCTAGCTGTTTTTTTTTTTTAATTTATTGTAGAGACAAGGTCTCACCAAGTTGCCTAGGCAGGTCTCAAATCGGCGGGCTCAGGCAATCCACTTGCCTCGGCCTCCCAAAGTGCTGGGATGACAGGCTGAGCCACCGAGCCCGGTTGTGACCATGAATTCCAAGAGGACGCAGCTACTAGTGCTGCCAATGCTCTGCTCAGAATCTCCGCAGGTGCCTCTGAGTTCAGGGGTGCTGTGATCAATTAGCAATGTCTGCCATGGGCATGGGATGGGAAGGGGAGGCACGAATGCGACCATCCTGAGCTGGCCAGATTCCCAGTAATAGCAGAGCTCCCATGTGCTATGCACCTAGAATGTCTAGGCGCCATGTCAGATCCTCTTCCTGTTGTCACATGTAACCCCTAAACTCACCCCAGGGGATAAATGCCATTAATGTCCCTCCTCCTGAAGGTCAGCTTCGTGAGGACCACGGTGTTTCTAATCTGCATCGGTGAATGCTGTGTACTCAACACCTAAAGGAGTGCTCGGCATATGACAGACACTCAGTAAGTATTTACTGCTGAGTAGACAAACTCTCAGTGTGCAGATGAAGAAACCAAGGTTCCTAGTGGTAACTTTTTCTTTCTTTTTTTTTTTCTGAGTTGGAGTCTCACTCTGTTGCCCAGACTGGAGTGCAGTGGCCGCTCCCGGCCACCGCAGCCTCGACCTGCTGGGCTCCAGCGATCCTTCCGCCTCAGCCTTCCAAGTAGCTGGAACTACAGGCGCACACTACCATGCCCGGCTAATTTTTTTTTTTGATTTGTTGTAGAGATGAGGTCTCACCAAGTTGCCCGGGCGGGTCTCAAACTCACGGCTCAGGTGATTCACTCACCTCAGCCTCCCAAGGTGCGGGATTACAGGCTGAGCCACCAAGCCCAGCTAATTTTTTCAAAATCAAGTCGTTAGTAAGGGTGGCCTCTAGACAGTGTATCCAGAATTCTCTGAGAACAGAAACGTTCTCTAATCTGCTCTGTCCAGTATGGCAGCCCCACTAGCCCAAATGGATACCAAGGACTTGAAATGGGGCTGGTGTGACTAAGAAACCGAAGTTTTAATTTTATATGAAATTTTTTTCTTTTTTTGAGACAGGATCTTACTCTGTCACCCAGGCTGGAGTGCAGTGGCACAATCATGGCTCACCACAACCTTAATCTCCTAGACTCAGGTGATCCGTCTGCCTCAGCCTTCCAGGTAGCTGGGGCTACAGGCACGTGCCCCCACACCCAGCTAATTTATTGATTTTTTGTAGAGAAGAGGCTTTATTGCCCAAGCTGGTCTCAAACTTCTGGGCTCAAGCGATCCTCCCAACAAAGTCCTAGGATTAAAGTCATGAGTCACCACAACTGGCTCAAATTTTATGTAAATCTTAGCTAATTAAAATTGAAATGGAAGTGGCCACCTGGGGTGGGTGGTGACTGTTTTCCTTAGTGCAGTTCTAGAGACTGAGAGTTCTAATCACCTACCCTAGGGCCAAATCCTGGGAGGAAGAGAACACACCAACATTTTTGAACAAACAAACACACTGAGATGTTTAAACTATAATTCCATCAGGGGGGCAGGGTGGGTAAAGTGAATGCATCAACAAGCAATTGCATCGTGTCCTTCTGACCACAACTGAGGGGGTGGAGGGGACCTTTTATCCAAGCTGTCTTGTTTTACATACGAGAGATCTGAAGGTTCCAGAGGAGACGTGGCTGGTCCGGGATTACCTGCAGACTTGGACTCTGGCCAGGTTTGCAACCTTGAAATCCTATGTCCCCGAATCCCTTTTTTTTTTTTTTTGAGACAGGTCTCACTCTGTCCCCTAGACTGAAGTGGCATAATCATGGCTCAATGCAGCCTCAAACACCTGGGCTCCAGCAATTCTCCTGCCTCGGTCTCCCGAGCAGCTGGGAATACAAGCGTGCACCACCAAGCTCAGCTAATTTTTTTTATTTTTTGTAGAGATGAGGTTTCCCTGTGTCATCCCCAGGCTCGTCTCAAACTCCTGACCTCAAATGATCCTCACCTTGGCCTCCCATAGTGCTGGGATGATAAACGTGAGCTACCGCGCCCAGCTCCAAGTGACTTCGTTCTAACAGTTGAAAAAAGAGGGACACACGGGAGGTCCAGAATGCCTCCGCGGAATAGGCTGTGGGCAAGGCCAGCCCCATCAGGGGCCTCAGTGGCGATTCTGCATGAGAGCAATTCTGACCACAGACCCCATGACAAGAGTCGGCTCAGGGCAAAACCAGGTTGCAGCGGGAGCCTCCTGTCTGACACCTGCTTCCCCAGTCAGAACGTGATCTCTAAAAAGTGCCTGAAGCTGATGAATGCTACAGTGTAAAGGAGTTTTTTAAAAAAGCGTGCATTTCAGCTTGGGCATGGTGGCTCATGCCTGTCATCCCAGCACTTTGGGAGGCCGAGGTGGGAGGATCGCTTGAGCCCAGGAGTTCGAGACCAGCCTGGGCAACATAGCGAGACCTTCTCTCTACAGAAAATCAAAAAACTAGCTGGTTGTGGTCTCATGTGTCTGTAGTCCCAGCTACTCGGGAGGCTGACGCAGGAGGACTGCCAGAGGCTGAGGCTATGGTGAGCTGTGATCGTGTCACTGCACTACAGCCTGGTTGACAGAGTGAGACACCGACTCAAAAAAAAGAAGTGTCCATTTCCAAATGATTTCTTTTTTTTTTTTTTCCTTTTTTGAATCAAGGTCTCACTCTGTTGCTCTGTTGCCCAGGCTGCTGGAGTGTAGTGGCACGCTCGTGGTTACCGCTCACGGCCATGGCAGCCTCAACCTGCTGGGCTCAGGCGCTCCTTCCGCCTCAGCCTCCAAGCTGGAACTACGGGCACGCCCCACCATCCCTGGCTCATGTTTTGATTCATTGTAGAGATGAGGTCTCGCCAAGATGCCCAGGCTGGTCTCGAATCTGTGGGCTCAGGAATCCTCTCACCTCTGCCTCCCAAAGTGCTGGAATGACAGGCATGAGCAAACATGCCCGGCCCTGTGATTTCTATTTTAACAGGAGTCAAAGGCTGAAGTCGGAGAACCCCTCTCTAACGGGTGGAGTATCCAGCACCATCAGCCAGAGCTGATGTTTAGGGAGATTTCTGTCCTGGGCGCTGCTCAAAGTAGCCAGCATGTCACAACAACCCATGAGACGGAATCGCGCTCTGTTTGGAGATGAGGAAAGTGAGGCACGATGAAGTTAGACGCTGGTCCAGTCCACCCAGCTGGGGAGCGGCCAGGCCAGGGCTGAAATCCGGGCAGAGCTGGGAGAAGCCAGGGCCAGCAAGGGGAGCTCTCTTTCCTTCCTCTGATTCGGGACCCCCCGCCACCAGCCTGCCCATCGGCCAGGCGATGCTCTGGGGGCTTCTCGCCCTCTGGTCTGACAGCTACGACCATGCCAGGGTGTGCAGGCAGAGAGTCCCGTGCGGATGTGGCCTGGGTTGGCCGCAGACCTGCTGTACACCAGGCTATGATGTTTCTAGATTACTCAGCCTTTGGAAGGGAAGCCTTTGAGGGAACTAGCCCTCCTCCTCTCCCAGCCCCCTCCCCCTGACCTCCCACTCCAGGAGGCTCAAAGTCTGGAAGCATGCTGCAGAGAAAAGAGTTGCAGCTGCAAGTAGTGCTAGTTACCCCTCCAGTCCCCCCACCCCCATCCCTCCCTCGAGGCCCAGCTGTTCTCAGGAAGCCAGGCAGGCAGCTCCTGACTCCCCCTCCCAAATGGCTTTGAGAGGGAGTTAGACATGCTCCTCTCCAGGCCCCTGGAGAGGCCCTGTGTACCAGGCCCCAGAACTGGCAGCCCTGAGGAACCTTCTAGTGTACTGGTTCACGGGCTCACTGGGCTCTGGCACGAGACTGCCTGGGTTCCTCATTCTGGGTCACGCCCCTACTTGCCGCGTGATGCTGGGTGAGTCATCTCACCTTCAGAACCTCAGTTTCCTCATATGCGAAGTGGGGGTAGGATGGACCCGCAAGCGCACTGTGAGATAAGTCGAGGGAGCCAGGAGAGCCACCAGCACCCCGGCCTGCCCTCCCCACCTTTCTTCTCACCAGTCTGTGCTTCCAGGTGACGCACCTCTCACGGGTACTCTTCTGTGACGTGCATTTTTGGACTGAGGTGTTGTTATTGTTGTTAAGTGTTTTTGTTTTCAGGCTGGTGTGCAGTGGCATGACTGGGGCTCACCACAGTCTCTACCTCCTGGGCTCAGGTGATCCCCTTACCTCAGCCTCCCAAGTAGCTGAGTCTACAGGCGCCCAGCACCACACCCAGCTAGTTGGATTCTCACTCCATTGCCCAGGCTAGAGTGCAGTGGCAGGTTCCTGGCCACCGCAGCCTCGACCTGCTGGGCTCCGGCAATCCTTCCGCCTCAGCCCTCCAAGTAGCTGGAACTACAGGCGCGCGCTGCCACGCCCGACTAATTTCTGATTTATTGTAGAGACAGGTCTTGTCAAGTTGCCCAAGCACGTCTCGAACCCGCAGCCTCAGGCAATCCACTCGTCTTGGCCTCCCAAA